TCTTCCCACTGACTCACCAATGTAAGGGACATTCTTCCCACTGATCACCAATGTAAGGGGCATTCTTCCTACTGATCCCCCAATGTAAGGGACATTCTTCCCACTGATCACCAATGTAGGGGACATTCTTCCACTGACTCCCAATGTAAGGAGTATTCTTCCCACTGACCCCCAATGTAAGGGACATTCTTCCCACTGATCACAATGTAAGGAGTATTTTTCCCACTGACCACCAATGTAGGGGACATTCTTCCCACTGACCCCAAATGTAAGGAGCATTCTTCCCACTAATTACGAATGTAAGGACATTCTTCCCACTAATTCTTCCCACAATGTAAGGGACATTCTTCCCACTGATCACCAATGTAAGGGACATTCTTCCCACTGATCACCAATGTAAGGGACATTCTTCCCACTGATCACCAATGTAAGGGACATTCTTCCCACTGACCACCAATGTAAGGGACATTCTTCCCACTGACCACCAATGTAGGGGACATTCTTCCCACTGACCCCAATGTAAGGAGCATTCTTCCCACTGACCACCAATGTAAGGAGCATTCTTCTCAATTAATTGGTTTTAGCAGGGGTTCCCCATGACCTGAAAAATATTTCAAGGGTTCCTTGGGGTAAGAAGGCTGAGAAAGACTGCTTCAATAAGTGCCCATATTATGAAAGAGCACATAGAAATAACACTGTAATTACGGTTTCTTTAGGGACAGGCTCATCAAGCCGTGCCGCAGTCTGTGCGAGGCAGTAAGGAACAGCTGTGCACCAATCATGGCTTGCTATGGATACCCCTGGCCAGAGATCCTGAAATGTGACCAGTTCCCTATTGACCACGGCATGTGCATCTCAAGAATTACAAATGGCACCAGCAATCGGAGAAGTAAGTCATTTATATGTGGTTTTAAATCATTGATAAAGCAGGCACTCCGCAATAGTGTCCTCCAGGGACTGGGGTTCTATACTCTGTCACCTTCTGTGTCCCGAAAGCCTTCTTTCTATCACATAAAACTCATACTAATATCTACATCTGCTGTAAAGGAGTTATACTGCAGCACATCTGTACCTGAGGATCGGCAGAACGCAATCGGGGAGACCCCTGCCAATAACTGGGGGAAGGGATAGGCATGCAGATAGACGAGGTAAATATGGAGCTTTGCTCTAATTTGTGCCTTCTGTTACAGCAGTGCCCCGAGCCAGCTGCAGGGACTGTGAACTCGACGAGGCCAGCAGTGCCAAGGAGATCCTGGATACGTTCTGTGCTAATGATTTCAGTAAGTACTCCGCCTGGCATCCGACGCGCACCTCGTCGCTCACAGCTGTCGCTGGGAGAAATCAAAGCTCACCAGGGTTATGCAACATTAAAGTGGAGGCGTCACTCAGGGAGATGATATACTCCTGGTGGGACATTCTTAGAACTCCAACTCGCAAAAATTTAGAAAAGTTTTGACAATTTCCCCAGGTGTATGCAAAATACAAATATATATATATCTACACATACACACGCACACAAAAGGCATTTTATATATACATATACACTGCTCAAAAAACTGAAAGGAACACTTTGAAAACACATCAGATGTCAATGGGTAAGAATCTCCTGCGGGATCTCTATACTGACATGGACGGGGTAATGTGTTAGGAATGTAAGGACGCCCCATCGTTTGATGGAAATGAAAATGATCGATCTACAGAGGACTAAATTCAAAGACACCCTGAAAATTAAAGTGAAAAAATGATGCAGCAGGCGAGTCCATTTTGCAGAAATTTCATTGCAGCAACTCAGAATGGTCTTTAGTAGTCTGTATGGCCCCCACGTGCTTGTATGCATGCCTGACAACGTCGGGGGAGGCTCCTAATGAGACAACGGATGGTGTCCTGGGGGATCTCCTCCCAGATCTGGACCAGGGCATCACTGAGCTCCTGGACAGCCTGAGGTGCAATCTGGTGGCGTCGGATGGGCCGAAACATGACATCCCAGAGGTGTTCTATTGGATTTAGGTCAGGCGAGTGTTGGGGCCATTCAATGGTATCAATTCCTTCATCCTCCAGGAACTGCCTGCATACTCTCCCCACATGAGGCCGGGAATTGCCGTGCACCAGGAGGAACCCAGGACCCACTGCACCAGGAGGAACCCAGGACCCACTGCACCAGCGTAGGGTCTGATAATGGGTCCAAGGATTTCATCCCGATACCTAATGGCAATCAGGGTGCCATTGTCTAGCCTGTAGAGGTCTGTGTGTCCCTCCATGGATATCCCTCCTCAGATCATCACTGACCCACCACCAAAACGGTCATGCTGAACGATGTTACAGGCAGCAGAATGTTCTCCACGGCTTCTCCAGACCCTTTCATGTCTGTCACATGTGCTCAGGGTGAACCTGCTTTCATCTGTGAAAAGCACAGGGTGCCAGTGGTGGACCTGCCAATTCTGGTGTTCAATGGCAAATGCAAATAGAGCTCTATGGTGCTGGGCAGTGAGCACAGGGCCCACTAGAGGACATCGGGTCCTCAGGCCACCCTCATGAAGTCTGTTTCTGATTGGTCAGACAATCACACCAGTGGCCTGCTGGAGGTCATTTTGTAGGACTCTGGCAGTGCTCATCCTGTTCCTCCTTGCACAAAGGAGCAGATACCGGTCCTGCTGATGGGTTAAAGACCTTCTACGGCCCTGTCCAGCTCTCCTAGAGTAACTGCCTGTCTCCTGGAATCTCCTCCATGCTGTTGAGACTGTGTTGAGAGACACAGCAAACCTTCTGGAAATGTCACGTATTGATGTGCCATCCTGGAGGAGTTGGACTGCCTATGCAACCTCTGTAGGGGCCAGGTATCGCCTCATGCTAACAGTAGTGACTCCTATGCAAAAGTAGTGAAAAACAGTCAGGAAAGATTAGGGAAAAAATGTCAGTGGCCTCAACCTGTAAAACCATTCCTGTTTTGGGATTCGTCTCATTGTTGCCCATCTAGTGCACCTGTTGCTAATTTCATTAACACCAAAGCAGCTGAAACTGATTAACAACCCCCTCTGCTACTTACCTGACCAGAGCGATATCCCAGGAGTTTCATTGACTTGATGCTAGACTCTGATTAAAAAGTCTTCCTTTAATTTTTTTGAGCAGTGTATGTATTATTATTATACAGGATTTATATAGTGCCAACAGTTTGCACAGCGCTTTAAATAATGAAAGTAGACATATATAAATATAAATAAACACTGCTGGCCATCAGCCACTTCTCGTCCTTTAGTCAATTTCTATTCTAAGTTCAAAGCAGATACTATCTATGGTCACTTGTGGCTATCATCAAAGTCACAAGTATAGTGAAGATATACCCATATTTTATATAAATAAATACTGACCACCACACCTATATGAGCTTATTGGGCATACTCTGGGGAATTAAGGTGATTGTAAAGCTCTGACATGAAATATGAACAAAGTATATCCCTCTATAGTGTGTACTTGTCTCAATCCAGAGCACTAAGTGTCATTTCTGTCTGCTGCCTCCTTCCTCTGCTATTTGCATGAGGCACTTCTGACACGTTTTCCTGACACCAAGAGATAATAGTGGATAAGGTGACAGTGGAAGGAACTGTAGCACACAGACAGTGATTGAAAGCCTCAGCTCTGTTTCTGTGTGCTGTGTGAAGGGGGGTGCGTCCCTTCCCTCCAACCAGCTTTCAGGTCTCTCCTCACTTTCAGCTCTTCGCACCATTTTCTGAAAGCTCAAAAAGCTTTATAAATTCTGGACTTTGCAAAGCTGTAGAGAAAAGAAGACTTCAGATAAACAAGTACAACTTATGTAGGAGGATTTGTTCCAGCTCTGTGTATCACCTGAGGCCAGTCACTTCACTGAGTATATATACAAGTATAATGGCGCAGGAAACAGTCAGGAGTGGTGTGTGCCCCGTTAATGAAGCAGTTGGGCCTGTTTCAAACCTATCTTTGTCACCTGCGCTAGTTTCTATTTTAGAATGAAATATAAACTAGCACAGGTCTGGCCCTAATTATCATACTGCAGTTTTCCATACAGAAAACTGTTGCCGATTCTCATCAGGTGGGACCTTGTCATATGGGACGTTAGCAGTCAAAAGACAACTCACATTCACCTCTGCTTGTGCAGTAATTACACTACACAAGCAGAGTCTGCTGAGTTGACAACCCTCCTGCCTCCCACTCTGAGCTTAGTACAGGGGGCCGTGATAACAGAGAGATCAGAGCATGTAGCTCCAGTACTCTGTTCTTCTGTGTCTATGGCAGGAAGCACAGAGAACTGGTCGCTCCTAACTAACAAAGGGGCCTTCACCATTTTTGTTAATTAGGAAAAGCATCTGCTCAAATTCTTACGTTTAGAAGAGTGGTGCATGAACAAACGTGCGCCACTCTTTGTCAATTTCCTCCACTGTTACAAAACCATGGGCATCAGTATGGAGTTGCCACCTACCTTTGTGACCAGGGGCGGACTGACCATTTGGAAACTCGGGCACTGCCCGAGGGCCCGTGGATCAGCAGGGGGCCCCATGAGATGCCCCTGGTACCTTTTCATAGGCTTTTTTGAGTTTTGGCAAGGACACAGGGGCCCCATGATCCCCTATTGCCCGGGGGCCCCATGAGTTGTCAGTCCGCCCCTGTTTGTGACTATAACAGCCTCCACTCCACTGAGAAGGCTTTCAACAAGATTTTGGAGTACCTAAGAATTTGTGCTCTTCAGCCAAAACAGCATTTGTGGGATCAGTTATAGAAAGACCTGACTCACTATTGGAGTTCCAATTCATCCCAAAGGTGTTTAGCAGCCAAAATATAGCCAGCCATAGATGGAGCAAATTTCTTTTCTGCAATGACGGGTTGCAGGAAAGAGAATCAGTCGAATTGCTCTACCGCTCTACACGGTGATTATTGTTAGCTGCTACAAAAGCCATTGGCAATAATCGTACGTAAAATCTGACAGGTTGGTTTTACCTAAGATGATCGATTGATCAACTTGGGTACATTCAGTCTGCCCATACATGGTTTGAATCTTGGCCGGTTCCTGCTAAAGAAGCCGACATTCAAACCGTCTATGGCTGGCTTAACTTTGTACACTATAGCAGTGTTTATCAACCTTTTTTTCATTCAAGGCACCCTTTACAATTATGGACAGTCCCGAGGCACCCTTTACAATTATGGACAGTCCCGAGGCACCCTTTAAAATTACGGACAGTCCCGAGGCACCCTTTAAAATTACGGACAGTCCCGAGGCACCCTTTAAAATTACGGACAGTCCCGAGGCACCCTTTAAAATTACGGACAGTCCCGAGGCACCCTTTAAAATTACAGACAGTCCCGAGGCACCCGTTAAAATTACGGACAGTCCCGAGGCACCCTTTAAAATTACGAACAGTCCCGAGGCACCCTTTAAAATTACGGACAGTCCCGAGGCACCCTTTAAAATTACGAACAGTCCCGAGGCACCCTTTAAAATTACGGACAGTCCCGAGGCACCCTTTAAAATTACGGACAGTCCAGAGGAACCCTCTAAAATTACGGACAGTCCCGAGGCATCCTTTAAAATTACGGACAGTCCCGAGGCACCCTTTAAAATTACAGACAGTCCAGAGGAACCCTTTAAAATTACGGACAGTCCAGAGGAACCCTCTAAAATTATGGACAGTCCAGAGGAACCCTCTAAAATTACGGACAGTCCCGAGGCATCCTTTAAAATTACGAACAGTCCCGAGGCACCCTTTAAAATTAAGGACAGTCCCGAGGCACCCTTTAAAATTACGGACAGTCCCGAGGCACCCTTTACAATTATGGACAGTCCTGAGGCACCCTTTAAAATTATGGACAGTCCTTAGGCATCCTTTATTATTATGGACAGTCCTGAGGCACCCTTTACAATTATAGACAGTCCAGAGGAACCCCATTCTAAAATGTGAAAAACTATTTTAATAATTTTACATAACGCAGCGACATCCACACATGTAGGACACCCAACATTAGAGGTGATTTATTCTTCGAAAGCAAATACACTTTTGCACACTGGTACTGAGTAGTATTCCCATGTTTCTCTTCTCCCTCAGTTTTTCTCCATATGACCCCAGCACTGGTGGAGAGGGGCAGTGGAGGGTCAAACTAGGATGCTGTGCAGGCAACGGACATTCTCCTTATCAACTGATGACATCATTGGTTGTCAGGACACTGGAGGCTAGAAGGTCCTAATGGTGCACAATGAAAACCTGGGGCTTTGTGTAACTAAAAGGCTGGCTTGTATACAAATTTTGGGCAAATTTTATAGACATTTTGCCAAGGCACCCCTAAACCCCACACTGATAGAGGGACAGGGGGTGTCAAACTAGGATGCTGTGCGGGTAGCTGACATCCTCCTTATCAACTGATGATGTCATTGGTTGTCAGGACCCCGGCGGCTAGAAGGTCGTAATGGTGCACAATGAAAACCTGTGGCTTTGTGTAACTAAAAGGCGGGCTTGTTCCACCCGCTGGCTTGTAGACAAGTTTTGGGCAATTTTTAGACATTTTGCCAAGGCACCCCTGAAGAAACCTCAAGGCCCCCCAGGGTGCCTGGGCACGCTGGTTGAGAAAGGCTGCACTATAGTACTAACAATACTTTTTACTGGGAACAATAATTTGAAGGGGTGTCCTCCTAATTTTGGACATATAATAGGTGTGAAGATCAGGCATTAACATGCTCTTGACCGCAGAGTGTACATCTCTCTCCTGAATGGTTAAACTAAGTAGTTTAGTGTTCCACTTCGATTCGGCTAGGCATAGACGTCATCTATCATTCTTTCCACAAGCGCAGGGTATCTGGGTCACATATATTCTAGATTTGCTAAATATACTATTTTCCTCTGTAATATTCAGCAGCAGGTAAACCAGATTCAACTGACCTATATTTGAAAAGAAGATAAACACTATAGCTGCCATAGGGGCCCATTTATAAAGCAGCGGTATGTCCCAACCATGTATCGCTGCATTTCTATTAAAAGTGCCTCTGGCACATTTATTAAGTGCTGCGCTGTGCTTCCATAATGTGCTTTGGACTTTCTTTGCTTTGGGACACTGAAGCAAGAGAAGACCATTTATTCTGAAGAATGGGGAAAAAAAGTGCTGGGAGGAAACCTGTCACATGACTCCAAACAGGTCATGTGACAGTTCTCCCCTCCTACTTGACAGTGATCGTTGTGGAGAATACAACACAGGGCATCAGTGACTCAAAGAAGCATGGACAATTTCATGTGACCCACAACAAAAGCTCAAGGTCCCCTGCTCAGGATGTCAAGGGCTGGCGAGTTGGAAGCTGCTGCCTAGTGAGGGTGCAGGCTGAGGAAAGGTCCATCCAGACTCAAAGCATACTGCGGAAATAGGAAGAGATAGCCCGGCCACTGCACACCTTACCTGGCACGAGTGGTTAGCAGGTAAAAGCAGCCTCAGCTCGATTCATCCAGACCAGACTTTCTAATCCAGGGTGCCCTGGCACTCCGGGGTGCCTTGAGGTTTCCTCAGGGGTGCCTCGGCAAAATGTCTAAAAATTGCCCAAAACTTGTCTACAAGCCAGCGGGTGGAACAAGCCTGCCTTTTAGTTACACAAAGCCACAGGTTTTCATTGTGCACCATTACAACCTTCTAGCCGCCGGGGTCCTGACAACCAATGACATCATCGGTTGATAAGGAGGATGTCAGCTGCGCGCACAGCATCCTAGTTTGACCCTCCACTGCCCCTCTCTGCCAGTGCTGGGGTCACATGATGGAGAAAAACTGAAGGAGAAGAGAAACATTGGAATACTAGTCAGTACCAGTGTGTAAAAGTGTATTTGATTTGGAAGAATAAATCACCTCTAATGTTGGGTGTCCTACATGTGTGGATGTCGCTGCGTTATATAAAACTATTAGAATAACATTTTATTAGGGTGCCTCTGGAATAATTTTTACTGGACTTAGTTTTAGAATGGACTGTCCATAATTTTAGGGGTCCTCTGGACTGTCCATAATTTTAGAGGGTGACTCTGGACTGTCCATAATTTTAGAGGTGCCTCTGAACTGTCCATAATTTTAAAGGGTTCCTCTGGACTGTCCATAATTTTAGAGGGTGCCTCTGGACATAATTTTAAAGGGTCCACTGTCCATAATTTTTAGAGGGTGCCTCTGAACTCCGGACTGCCTTGACCAAAAAAAATGAGAAACATTGATCCAGATGGAGAAACAGAAAAAGGGCGGGTGCCTCTGAAACTGTACTTACATAGACATAAAAACACAGGCATGTTGAACAAGATGGATCCAAACAACATCTGAGTCATACGATGGAACCCTGGGACTGTGACAACCAATGAATTTTAGAGGGCACAGCATCCTTGACCCTCCACTGTCCAGTAATTGATTAGAGAAGGAAACATTGGAATACTAGTCTCAGTGTGTAAACTGTCCATAATTTCTAGAGGGTGCCTCGTGTGGACTGTAAAACCAGTTTTTTACATTTTAGAATGGGGGGTTCCTCTGAACTGTCCATAATTTTAGAGGGTTCCTCAGGACTGTCCATAATTTTAGAGGGTGCCTTGGACTGTCCATAATTTTATTTTAGAGGGTTCCTCTCAGGACTGTCCATAATTTTAGAGGGTGCCTCTGGACTGTCCATAATTTTAAAGGGTTCCTCTGGACTGTCCATAATTTTAGAGGGTGCCTTGACCGAAAAAAGGTTGTTAGAGAACAGGTATTTCTGACTTTAGTTCCACCTAAAGCGGAAATAAAGCCATTGATTTAACGGTTTCAAAATGTTACATTTGCTTGTGCTCTCAACGAAACTGTCAAACTATCAAATGGCTGCTGTCTTAACTGATCACATGTGCAGCACCGATGCAGTTGCAGATCAAACCGAGGCCAAGATGGAAAAGAACAGAGGGGGTTTTGTTTTAAAGGGCCCATTCAAACCAGCTTGTGCATGTCATGGTCCATTTAACGTGTGCGCTGATGTGCAATGTGTTGTTACAAAATGTCACAAAACTTCACTTCAATTCAGCATCTTTGTGCATTGCTTAACAATGCAGACATACAGCCCTGGCCAAAAGTTTTGAGAATGACACAAATATTAATTTACCAGCAAGGAAACAGTGCAGTCCTATTGCTGCTACTAAGATTGCACCTACATCAACCATTTATGGGATCATCAAGAACTTCAAGGAGAGAGGTTCAATTGTTGTGAAGAAGGCCTCAGGGTGCCCAAGAAAGTCCATCAAGCTCCAGAACCGTCTCCTAAAGTTGATTCAGCTGTAGGATTGGCGCACCACCAGTGCAGAGCTTGTTCAGGAATGGCAGCAGACAGGTGTTAGGACATCTGCAAGCACAGTGAGGCGAAGACTTTTGGAGGATGGCCTGGTGTCACGAAGGGCAGCAAAGAAGCCACTTCTGTCCAGGAAAAACATCAGGGACAGACTGATATTCTGCTAAAGGTACAGGGATTTGACTGCTGAGGACTAGGGTAAAGTCATTTTCTCTGATGAATCCCCTTTGCTTGGGGCATCCGGAAAAAACTTTAAGAAGAAAAGATGAACGCTACCATCAGTCCTGTGTCATGCCAGGAGTAAAGCATGCTGAGACCATTCATGTGTGGGGTCGTCGCTTCTCAGCCAAGGTGGTGGGCTCACTCATAATTCTGCCTAAGAACACAGCCATGAATAAAGAATGGTCCAAAAACATCCTCCGAGAGCAACTTCTCCCAACCATCCGACAACAGTTTGGTGAGGAACAATGCCTTTTCCAGCATGATGGAGCACCTTGCCATAAGGCAAAAGTCATAACTAAGTGGTTTGGGGACAAAACATTGAAATTTTGGGTCCATGGCCAGGAAACTCCCCAGACCTTAATCTCATTAAGAACTTGTGGTCAATCCTCAGGAGGCGGGTGAACAAAACAACCCCACAAATTCTGACACACTCCAAGCACTGATTATGCAAGAATGGGCTGCCATCAGTCAGGATGTGGCCTGGACGTTGATTGACAGCATGCCAAGGAGAATTGCAGAGGGCTTGAAAAAAAGAATGGTCAACACTGCATAAACTTCATGTAATTGTCAATAAAAGCCTTTGACACTTTTGAAATGCTTGTAATTATACTTCAGTATACCATAGTAACATCTGACAAAAAGATCTAAAAAACACTGAAGCAGCAGACTTTGTGAAAATTAGCTTTTGGCCATGGCTGTACACACCACGCACTTGCCTAGTGTGCACAGGCCACATGGGGAACAATTGTTTTCTGTGTTCATAAGCTGAGCCTGTGTTGATCAGTGCAGATCAGCACACCTGGTGTGAATGAGCCCTAATACAATTTAAAAAAAAACACTGTGTAAGAATTTAAAAGTCCTATAAAAAAAACTACTTTATATATTGATGCCGGAATCATTTTTTTTTTTTTAAAAAGGACCCCCAGCAGTACTGAAAATGTAAACCGCAGATATAGCTGCAATACTCTCCCCTTCTCCAGCTCTGGGAACCGCAGTAATGACTTTATTTATGTCCTCAGTCTACGGCATCATTCAACCTGGCGGACTGAGGACATACTGTGAGTACAGGGGAGTCAAGAATATTAACTTCCTAAAAATACACCATATGTTCCCTTTAAGCGGTCTCTTTTTTTTCACTTAAATTATCTGGCTGGAAGAGGAGGTGAACTGATCCCAAAGTATCTCCGAGATGCTTCAAGATAACTTTTTAAGCTGCAGATCCATAAAAGGTCCTGAAAGCAGCCGCGTGACTCCTCACCACATTCGCTTCTGCAAGACGTTCCCTTCTCTTTCCCATATAGTACTGACAGAGAGTAATATAACTGCTTATTGTATAAATACATTACAGGCTACCGAGAGACCTGGCTACCATAAAAGGTACAAAGATACAACCTAAAGATATAATAGAAAGCACGGATAATCATAATCAGATGGGAAAGGCAGGCTTGGACCTGTGGCCCTCCACATACTAATTAAAGGGTCAGTCCACCTAAAACACTCTTTTGTTTATAGTTTTTGGTGAATAACGGAGAGCTAAACCACCAGTTTTATGTTTAATGGGGTCTCTAATGACCAAATATGCCAAAGCTGATATGAAATGATTAAATGTCTCTTGATCCTTCCAGTTTCTGCTCTAAGGACTTCCTGAATAGGGTGACCACCAGCTCACAATTCTAGATGATGGTCACCCTGTTCTTCCACCTAATCCACTGCAGTAAATGTCTCCTGTTGGTTGATGGACACCTACTCTGATCATTTAGCAGTGGAGATGTGAATGTCCTTTAATTATAACTGCCACCCCTGTAGCTATCCCAAATTTGGAGACAGAAAGCGAAGACCATGGGTGAGGCATGGTGAGGCTAAAGCGAAGACCATGGGTGAGGCTAATGGTGAGGCTAAAGCGAAGACCATGGGTGAGGCTAATGGTGAGGCTAAAGCGAAGACCATGGGTGAGGCTAATGGTGAGGCTAAAGCGAAGACCATGGGTGAGGCTAATGGTGAGGCTAAAGCGAAGACCATGGGTGAGGCTAATGGTGAGGCTAAAGCGAAGACCATGGGTGAGGCTAATGGTGAGGCTAAAGCGAAGACCATGGGTGAGGCTAATGGTGAGGCTAAAGCGAAGACCATGGGTGAGGCTAATGGTGAGGCGAAGACCATGGTGAGGCTAAAGCGAAGACCATGGGTGAGGCTAATGGTGAGGCTAAAGCGAAGACCATGGGTGAGGCTAATGGTGAGGCTAAAGCGAAGACCATGGGTGAGGCTAATGGTGAGGCTAAAGCGAAGACCATGGGTCAATTCAATAATGGTGCAGAGCTAGATATTATTAAAGATATGATCATAAAAGACAAAACTGATAAAAGGGTACTAATAAAAGTTCATAAATGAGCAATAAATAAATGATAAACAGTTCCCGATCTCTACGAATGATCGGGAGTTGGCAGGTCTGGCTCCCAATCATGTGACCACAGTGGTCATGTGATTGGGCAGACTTTCCCGTAGGAAGCTGGGGTGAAGGAAGGAGTTAAATACAACAAAAAAACAGAAAATAAAACATAAAACAAAACAAAGAATTAACTTTTTTTTTTTCTTTGTAGTTGCAAAAGTTCGCATCGCAAAAAGAAACATGACCTCGTCCTCAGTTTCCGACTTTGACATGGACTCCAAGGTGGACATTTTAAAACACGGACCGCTCCCCAAGGCTGACCTCTTCCCCCGCCTCCAGCAGTGGCTGGACCTGGACGCCACCTGCGTGCAGAACATCATGCGTGGAACCCGCACGGGCACTTACGTCATCGGTGGCGACGTTCAGGATGACAAACTGGTGGTGAATAACGCCTACCCCTGGCAGAAGAGGAACAAGAACCTGCATTTTGCCGTAAAGAAATGGAAGCATCACAAGTGTCGGTTGTAGGATCTCCAACGTGTCCCGTCTGTCGAGCAGTACGAAAGATCAGAGGACTGAATATTGAACTGTATATATCTGGGTATAACCTCCTGTAATACCACAAGCAATAGGTGGCTGTAATAGAACATCTGGAAGCTGCAAGCCAAGTAGAAAAGAGGACCTGTCAGCTAGTAGATGCTGTAAATGTTTATACCGGAACTCCAGCCAAAAATAATAAAAATGATTAGCCCAATAAAAGATACAATAAAGAAAGCAGCACTCACCCTCAGTCCACAGCTATCCCCTCACAATACTTATTTTTCACCACTAGATGTCCTCAGTTTTCCATGCTGAATGACACTCAGCATCAATCAACCCATTCTTCCAAGCCCAGGCTGTCATGGGCCCACCCTCAGCCTGTGACTGGACAGTGAACAAGAAGTAGCACATGATTATCACTCTGCTTTCTCCTCCTATCAGCCTGATCCTTAACAGGATATAAACTGATTGGCTTTTTGAGTTGTTTCTTTCTCCCCCATCCAGCTCTGCTGTACAAGGAATGCAAGAGGCTAATATCTGGTCAAATTCAGACAAATGCATGGCTTGAAAAAAAAACAGGATGAGAGAAGGAGAGAAGCGCCTCTAAGTGCAGTATATCACTTTATTCAGGTGAATAGGTAGGAACACTCACATAAATAAGGTAAGTATAAGCAGAAAAACCATGGTTGGTGTAACCATCAGTAGGTGGGCATCGAGGGTGAGAGCTGTCACCTGTGTGGGGAGAAGTCAGCGTGCCGCTGGAGCAGCATGGTGGCTGGAGGAGAACAGCTGTGAGGCCGGCTTGCTTGATAAAGGAGCGCACTTCCGCCTTTCCTGGCCAGCGCATGATCCGAAACGCGTCGCAGTGCACCTTGGGTATCTGACGTCATCACGGTCACGCCGCCGCTGCATTCCAGCATGCATTCCGCCCAGCTCTGAGGGAGCACGTGCACGCCGGCCGGCCTCACAGCTGTTCCCCTCCAGCCACCACGCTGCTCCAACGGCACACCGACTTCTCCCCACACAGATGACAGCTCTCACTCTGGATACCCAACTACTGATGGTTACACCAACCACGGTTTTTATGCTTATACTTACCTTATTTATGTGAGTGTTCCTACCTATACACCTGAATAAAGTGATATACTGCACTTAGAGGCGCTTCTCTCCTTCTCTCATCCGACACTGTAGAATGAGAGGAGAGAAGCGCCTCTAAGTGCAGTATATCACTTTATTCAGGTGTATAGGATCTACAGAG